GTTTGGGGTTGCACCAACGCCTCCAACACTCAAGTGACAGAGACGGGACAAATATAACAAATTAATTTATCTTGATCTGACAAATCATCCAATAGTACAGAGCTGTCCTTTCTTTTGGCTCCACAAACCGCACGGTCAGCCTCAGGGGCTCACATATGGCCACTGCGTCATCCGTTAAACTGCAGTTTTCCAGAGTAGTCAGGGAACGCATTGAGACTCCAGCTGCGTGTCACTTTCAGCTTCTAGAAGCATTTCAGCGGACACCGACTACTTGATTTATCTGTTGTTGTTTTTTTTACTTTTTTTTAACCCATTTGCATTGCTCAGATCTGAAGTGAATGACTTTGTTTATTGCGTATCTTTGATACACTAATATATTCATTACTTAATAATTCATTAAACTGCTTCACTCAATAGGTCATTCCTTCCTTTAGCAAACCACAACAGCGTGAACGTCTTTCACGGATCCAGCCCTTCGTTAGAGGGATCGCAGCCCAGCCTCTCTCGCGGGCCTACCTGCTGGGCGTAGAAAGTGGCCACGTCCTTCATGCCCTGCCTGTAGGCCTCCGCCGCCTTGCTGAAGCACTCCTGCTGCTTCCGGTGCTGCAGGATGGCCTCCGCTCGGAAGTCGGCGTAGTCCGGGTCTTCCGTGTCCTGGAACAGCCCGGCCGCCTCCGTCTCCCTCGCCGCCTTCTTCTGGGAATCGGAAACGGGCATCGACGGACATGTCTCACACGCGGACATTCACTCTCATCCTCCGCGCCCAGGGAAGGGAGAGCTCCCAGACAAGAAGCGGTTTCCCTTAGAACGCTGGCTCTGAGTAATTTCCACCCACCTGAACCACTGAACACAGATGCCTTTAGTTCTCTGAAAACTAAATCCTTGTGGAAAAGGAGGCAAGTCATTCACTACTGTGGCTGAGGCCTCCTTGAGAGACTCATAAGCATGAACAATCTGCAGAAGGACATCTGAGCGTGACGCAGTACACGACGTGACATATTGAATACATGGAGGTAGAGAATTTATCATGTTATTTCAAGGTTCATGGAAATCTGTGTGAAGTATTACATATCCTAAGCACAGCAACACTTTGCTTAGCAGTGAAGATGTGTCCCAGGGAATGAAGCCCCGTAGGAATCAGAGCAAAAAGAGGAAATGATCAATGGGAATGTGCCCCCCCCAGAAGTGCGGTTTCTCATATTTGAGCAAAGTGTGAGGGTTTCACTGGGGCATCGGTGATATTTTTACCACAGGATACAATTAGAAATCAATTTTATACAGAAGGGACTGCCTTTTTAAATTCTAGCCGCAGTAGAAATCCATGAAATTGGGCTCTGCATCAATACATTGAGCTGGAGCTTGCGTGGATTAACAGCTGTCTGGCTTCTCCCAGACTGAGGCTCATACTGGGGGACTCGGCACCTGTCCAGATCTCACTGGCCGTATAGTAAACCTACGCATCACGCCCCACTCTCATTGGCTAGGAACCTGCGTGACGTTTTTCATTTCACTCTGCCGTCAGCACAAACACAGCCTGTGCTGAGCTGAGCATGCTCTAGGTGAGCTACCGTCAGTTGGTCCCATATAAGCAGCAGACAGAATAACACTGTGCTTCTGATAACATGTACTAGGAGTAATTAGAGTAACGCACAAAAAGTAACATGGTCAATTGGAGCTAAGCGAAGTGTTGCTATATTAAATAAGGATCATTTTCCTTAAGTGGTTTAATAGCTACAATGTACTGCTCTATATCACACCCTTATATTAATATATGCCATAAGGTGTATATATATCTCATATACCACATCCTTATACCCAGTCCAGCCGAAAGCGTTTTACCGGACTGATCCCAGTTCCTGACCTGGATGGCGGAGGCCTACCTTCTCCTTGACCAGGGGCCTCTGGGTCTCAACACGCTGGGCGACATCCTGGGCCACCACTGTCTTCACAGGGCCCTCATCCAGCACAGATTTCAAAAACTGCTCCGTCTGTTCCAGAGAGTAGCTGTGAGGGGGCAAGACGCACAGCGCGCAAACTGGTCAGAGTCGGCACCGCATGTCGGCCATAATTTAGAGCCAATCTGGACGAGTGAGCATCAGACCTGCAAAACCCACATGCCTGGTTCTGGTACATGGGCTGTGAATACTATGTCACTCTTTTCTCTCTAACACACACAGAGCCTTGGCCTGCTGTGAGAGGCTGTACTCTGAAAGGGTTATTATATATGCAGTTTTCGTTAAGATTGCCATCAAGTTCTGTTTTTTCAAGAAACGTTGGATTTCAGTGAATGGAATGAGGCAACTGCACGAGCAGCCCACTGAAGCCCAGCAGTTTTGAGCCTGGCCAGTACCTGGATGGGAAAGCTCCTGGGAAAGCTACAGTTGCTGCTGGAAGAGGTGTTAGTGGTAGCAGTAGGGAGAGCTCACCCTGTAGTCCGTCTGGGTTCGAATGCCCCATTATAGTGACGGAGACACTATACTGTATAATAAATGTAAAAAAGGCTCCGTCCTTCGGATGAGATTAAAACTGAGGTCCTGACTTTCTGTGGTCAGTAAAAATCCCTGTGCGTTTCTTGAAGAGAGTAGGGGTGTTACCCCACTGTCCTGGCCAAATTTCCCCCTGGCCTTTACCAATCATGGCCTCCCAATTATCCCCATCTATGAATTGGCTTCATCACCCTGTTCTCCTCCTGATTTTTCTTAAGCATTTGGGAATAAGAACCTTGTATTCATCTCAAGAGCTCTTCGCTGAGTACCTGCAGGAAGAAATCTTATTTCTGACTGACAAGCAGCCTAGCATGGTGAAATGTCCCTTTTCTCTCTAAAATATGTGTTCTTAAATACGTGTTTTAACAACACAACCACCCTCAAACAGGAAGTCCGAAATAAGAGAGATTACGATTAAAGTTTTCTGCTGCAGTCCTGCTTTTCGTGATAATTGCGTGGGAAGTGATTCACTTGGAGTATTCTAGAGAGCTGTGTAAAAGGTTAATCCTGTTAGATAATCCTAACCCTATTCACCAGGATCACACTCTTGCATGGCTCTGTGGAATACTCCAGGTGTATCAATCCCCTTGCAGCTAATGTACTATGTAAGTTACAGTTCATTTTCCAAAATAAATCAACGTCATTTCTCAATGACACACCTCTCACAGGATACACATCACAGGAATCCTTACTTGTTGTCCCTGAAGATGTCCAGGAGAAAGTGGCGGTCTATGGTAGGAAACATCTTATAAAGCTCCTGCTCTTTTAACAGGGCGGCTCCGTTTTTTCTGTCCAGGTCCCTGTTCAGCTTTGACTGAAGAGCACGAGGTAACAAAAAGAAAACGACAAACGAGAAAAGTTCATGTGACGTTTTCTTTCCATGGAGTAAATATGGGATGCGTCCAACACACAAACTGGCAATTTGCTTTGCCGTGGGCAATTGGCAGACCGATCTCCGATTTGATTTAATGCAGGCCACAAGCTGAAAAAGACAAACACCAACACGGAAATATGCAGAAATCATGGAAGGAGTTACCTGGTGGTGCACAGACATGAAGTTTATTTGACCACAAGCATTACGCGTTCTATAACGCAGAGATCTGCTGCTCACGAGACCACGTTGGGCCTATTACCACAGACTTAGGAGAGCAAACAGAGCTCATGGCTGGGCTGCCGGCCGCTGTCGTACCTTCTCCAAGTGCTCTTGCAGGGCCTGCTCCTCCAGCATGATGTCCCTGAGGGAGACGTGGGGCATCGGGGTGCTCCAGTGGTCCATGAACAGAACGCTGTCCGGGGGCTCTGACTGGCCAGCAGCCCCGGGAAAGACAGGACTCCAACCAGTTCTCCTTAGTCTGTCAGTCTGGGAGTCGATCCACAGCCCAGCACCTGGAAAACAGGACAGGAGGTAGAGGTGGCTGGTGAGGACATCTTGTGGGGAGAAGTGTGCCTTTCCTCCCTCACCTCACACGGCACTACATGCAGACAGAGCAAGAGCTACCGACCCACTCAACTCTTGTCTGGGCTTGCACTTGCCACCAGGCACTAGTGGTACAAGTGATACAGTGAAGCTCAGAGTGTACAAGTCACTATTGGATTCCACATCCTTCTGAGGCAATAACTGCATGCAGACTGCGGCCCAAACTCACTGGTCGGTGCTCCAGGGAGTCCGGAGCTCATCCTGGAAGCACAGGGTGTGTGGCAGAATTAATCCCCGGATGCAACACCAGTCCATTGCGGAACACAAGTACTCTATAATACCCAGGGAAAACCCTCAAGGAGAACATGCTTACCTCACACCCAGGACCCAAGACCCATGGTAGTGTCTATTAATAAATGTGTTTTATTCAACAATAATAATAATAATTCTGCACACATAAAACCAAGTTAGCTCATGAATAAGAGGAAATTTCCCTTGAATCAGTGTGTGAAGCCCACTGTGACACTGCAAAGGTTAAGCAGTGGAAAGTCATGCACTGGTTTTTCTTTTTCGCAGAAACACCTAAGCCAGGTCGTTTTTTTGGCTCTCTTTTGCATCTGTGTTTGTTATAAACGTGTGCACTTTGAAGCTCGGTAGCTTCAGGTCTAAAACGTTTCAGATCTGCTGTCTCACTGTGCCTCCTGCTGCTCTGATCGTCCACCATGATAACGAAGTACTCTAGTGGCAAGCGTCTACTGAAAAGGTAGTTTTTTTTTCATAACCTGCTTTTTTGAGACACGCAACGACAGGAAATAGGGGGGCAGAAACCCAGAAACAAATGATACTTCAATTGAAAAGGCAGTAAGAACCTGCAGATTTCAGAGAAAGAGAGAACCATTTTGACAAAAACTATCCACGAGAAAAATGGGAAGGTTCCCAGGGCTTTGTTTCAACTGCAGAAAGTTCTGACTTTACTTCCCCTTAAGCCATTTAGCATGGTAGTGAGAGTTCCGGGCCTTGTAAGCAAATGGACAAGAGTTACTAAAGGGAACCAAAACAAGGAAGGACACAAAAGGAGATCACTTACTTTCTTCCAGCAGCTGGTAGGAGAGAGCTGCCTGCCTCTGGCGCTCCTGGGAAGATGACAGAACGTTTTCACGCACACAGAAATGCAAACCGCAGGGCCTGCTGGCCCCAGGAAATCACCCTACCACATCAGGGTCTCTCACCAGGTCAGTGAATTTTAGTACGTAAAGAAGTAAGTGTGGGATCACTTGGAATGAACACCTAGACAACATAAAGCAGTGCAGTTAACTAAGCTGATCGAAACTTTACCATTCATAGGACAGTGAGATACGAGCTCAATATAGTCAAGGCTGGTCTATACGAAATAAGACCAGATTTCAAAGTTAAGGATCTTTCCCTGTTCTAGTATCAGATATCGAAGCGTGCATTTTGACCATGCTGGATGGATCACCACCTGAAGCGATTTTTTAGCAATCCCCCCCCCATTTTAAGCAGGTCACGGTACGTGCTCAGCTGATGTTTGCTTCGACTGCATGGAATAACTGGCGGTAAAAAAAAAAAACATCACGGCTTCCATGAAAATATTGACATTGTCAACGCAATTCCACAGACAACCTGAGAGGAAAGGCAGAGCCTTGAACTGAGGTGTTGCAGAAGATGGCGTGACTGAAGGCCAAGAGGTCAGTGCTGCACATTCTGAGGCCAAACCACTCTTATCACACAGCACTGCAGCAACCTGCTCATTAAATATTTACATAATAATCAGCAGCATCAATACACTGATGTATATATACAGGTGATACACTCATTATTTCTCCCTTGCTTTTGAACTTTTTGAATATATTCTAAACAAATATGGTCAAATTTGACATTGAATACCTATACGAGAATATTCAGGAGTGTTTTTTGTAACATTCTGAACAAAAATAAAGTTCAAAACGAAACAATGCTCGTCTCGTACAAAACAAAAACTCCCACCAACCTGAATAGTATCCTTCCATTTCTGGTGCAGCAGTTTTGCCAGGTTCAGGTCAATTTGGACAACACAATCTTCTAAAGATAAAGCCCCTTGAAAACAAACCAAAGGCAATGTACAAAGCTGTAAATGTTTGCTGAAACGAAGGCTAAAATACCTGTTTGGAGAGAACGAGATCAATCGACACAAAATGCATCTGACACCTTCCTAAAAAAATCAATGCCTTCATTTATTAACTGGCTTGGTCCCCAAACACTTTTCTGATAGAGGCTCTGCACAAAATGTTGGATCTGCGTTACCCAGGACCCTGATGACTTGGTCATTAAAAATCCCACCGAACTGTTCATAAGACTGGGGGATGTTAATCCTGTGACAATGGCCTTAAACGATCTACCCCCCTACATCTCCTCCTGAATTGAACTGGTGAAGTAATTCCTTGCTTCGCCAGCCAATCTGTCGTGCAGTGGGGCTGCTGGTACGGACTGGTTACCACAAGTCACCCAGATGGGAGCGGCACTTCAGTGGTGGATGTAATGTGTTCCCTTCCTATACATGAAGCTTTGGGTTGAAAGGAGCTAGACAAAGGCAAGCAGTAATTATTCATTACAAATACGTCCTCCACCAACCACACCCTGGGACACATCTGGGTTTCCCTAAATGTTTCCAAGCCTGCGATATACCGTACGGAAAACTCAGCCTTCTGCAAAGTGTCCTGCATGACATGCAAGCACTGCTGCGCTGGGGATCTTGGTATTATCTTGGGTGTGTCAAAGATGTTCATGTTAATACACCCACAGCAAGCACCACCGAGGTACAATACGGAGAATAGCAGCTCAACTGAAGCACACGGAACAAACAAAAGTTTCCATTTGTTTTTCCATCACACGATTGTAATGTTTTATTCATTTTTGTATCTTTGCAAATTTTGAATGTGCTTTTCCCCCCCACCAAGCGCACTTCGCACATCGGTGCGGTTTTGTCAGGTCGCAGACTTTATGCTGCAGAAACACGCTTCAGTTCACCCGCCCTGACTCTCCCAACTCAACACAAAGGAGACAGTCCTCCTTACCCGGGTCAATGCCCACAGATCCAAACAGGTCGCTGAGCTGGAAGGCCAGTTCAGCGGGTAAGCGCAGCTCCAGGGTCTCGATATCAAGCGCCTGCTGCGTCCTCTCAGGTGGCTGCTTGGCCGGACTGTGTTCTTTCCTCACTTCAGGGGCCGGAACAGAACTAGGAGGAGCCAGGAGTGCCCCTGCCTCAGCCCATTCCTCCGGCACCGCCCCACAGCCCTCTGCCTCATCAAGCGCACCCAGGCCTGCGCCCAGATTTTCATGCAGATCTAGTATTTCATCCAGCTCGCTTGGATTCTGAGTCTTGGATTTGTCCTCCCTTTCACCTCCTCCCTCTGTTGGCTTCAGCTCGGGCGGCTGCTCACGGTCGCTGGGCTCAGCTGTGGACTGACCGACAGAATGCTCTACTGCCTCTGTGGGCAGCTCACTCGGGCAGCCCTCCACAACTTGCCGCCAGCCCCTTTCCCCATGACAGCATTCATCCAGAAGCTCCAGAGAAGACGCAAGACCAGGACTCCCTTCATCCTTAGCATCTCCGACATCACTGCTAGTTACCTCTGCCGGTGTTCTTGAATGCTGGTCACCAGGGACACTCTGAACGCTTGAGTCATCCCACTGCGCGCAGGGCCAGGCATCAGAATCGGAACCTCCCACGGACCACAGCTCAGGCTGTCTCCTCACCTGGTCGGGACACAGTATCTCATCTTCTTTGAAAAGCTGCTCACCGGAATCTAACAGCAAATTAGTGGTCCACTCCATGTCCTGGTTGCATTTCTCGTACAGGTCCTTCAAGACGTCAAAGGACACCAATTTAAAGTGCTCACTGAGGATTTGTAGGTTTTTCAGCTTGTCTTCGGTGCTTAACTCGGTTTCTTCCACTTGCGTGCCTTTATCGTGCACAACCCTGTAGGGCACTTCCTGGCTCTCGAGACTCACCGCGGGCTTTGGCTGAAAGTTGGTGGAATTCCCCTGAAACACCACCAGCCCAGAAACATCCAAACCGTGTTTGTTGGCCTTCCAGAGCAGAGTGAAATCGTGTGGCATCGTCTGGGTCGAGATGCTAGCAGTGCTGTCTGGAGCAGCACTGTCAAACGGGGTCGCCCGAGGAGAATCTTTCGAGGACTCTGGAGAAGCGGGGCAGTTATTCGGAAACGTCGGTGCCAATCTGCACATTTTTCCTCCTCTTCCGCTTTCCGTTGATTTTCGGTCTTGGCTATCCGCAGGCAGGCACTTGCTAGCTCCAGGTGGGGCTGTCTGATTTTGGCAAGAGATTTCAGAGTGGCAGTCCACAGAACTCCCAGTCTCCTCTGTTTCTCCGCTAGCTACATCTGTTTGACCTTCTTTTTCATCAGTTGTCCCAGTGTTGCTTTCCCCAGGTGCCCATAACTCAACTCTTGCCTGCTCCCGTGTGATTGGACTCTTCCCAGACTGTTCTACCAGCGGCGCACTGGTCAGCCAATCTGCAGCAGAGTCCAAAAGCTCTGGTCTCGTGTCGGCGACTGGCTGGGTGTAGACCGAGTTTGTCGCACCCACGTCAAGGACAGCATCGCCACCTGGCTCTTCGGGGTGGGGGCTGGTTTCCAAACTCAAACTTTCAGAGTGGGAGTTCTGCGCAAAAGTCTCCAAATCCGGGGAACCTGGCGAGAGGGTGTGAGGGTTTCGGGTCCCGTCTGGCCCCGCCCGCAGGAGGTCCAGCAGATCCAGAAGCTCTTTCCCTTCTCCGCCTCTCTCTCTGGAGCTGTCAGACTCGTCACTTGATTCCTGTGTCGCCGACGCCTTCTTCGGCCTTCGCCGCCGCTGTTCCAGTACCGGTCCCGAGGGCCAGTCCCCAACGAAACTTAACAGTTCTGGCCTGACACCCTGTCGATCGGGGGTACCTGCTAACCCGTTTCCTCGCTCGCTCCCGCGCGTCCCCTCAGCAGCATCACCGCCACCGCTCACATCGCCATTCCGCCCGCCCTGCCGGCTCCCTCTCTTCCGCCTCACTCTCTGTCTGATGGATTCGAAGAACGCCGTCGGAGGCTCGCGAGCATCCCACTCCACCACACCGGCGCCCCATCCCGTCTCAGCGCGCTTGTTGCCGACGGCCTGACTTCCACCTCCACCGGCCGACGACACGGCCGCCTCGGCTCCCGAGGCAGAGGCGTCTATCGGCCCCGGCGACCGCAGATCTGGGCCCATCGGGTCTTCCATCCGCGCACGGGCCTGGGGGCCGAGAGAATGGGCGGGCTCGCGCTGGCACAGGCCCTCTTCTTGGGCGGCTCCTTCTCCCGCGGCAGATGCTTCGGGTCGGGGGAGGGGCTGCAGGTCGCTTTCCCCTGAACTTTGTTCGGAGTGGCGCTCCTCCACAAGGTCAGGCCCCGCCTCCACTTTCGCGGCTCTGCTTGACACGACACAGAAGGGGAAAGTCGTCAGGATGGCAATTTGGTTTTACCTTTGACGGTCAGGACCCGCCCAACCTGAACTATTGAAGGCCTCTGGTAAGTGCCGGAGTTGTGAATATCTGTATCCAACCCTAAGTGTTGCATTTGGCTTATTTGCGCAATTCATAGTAACAAATATTCGTCCTATCTGAAGTTTTCTGCCTGGTTATTACTTCATTTCAAAGCTGTCCTGAAGAAACCAGGAACGCATGCGGAGCGAAACGCTCAACTTCAAACTCCTTTTTTTCTCCTAAAAACCAGAATTAATTCATACGATACAAACCGGAACTGCACCAGTTAAAATACTCACAATGTACCCAGGCTTCCAATTCAGTGATTCACTCTGTAATTTCTTATTTTAATCTATTTTGATACTAAAACACTTTGATGCTGACATTAATTTAACACTACTTTAAAGAACATGGAAAGAAAAGATCAGATATCGCCTCGGCAAAGTGGTTTAATATTTACAGTTGCGATTTATGTACAGACTGCCGGTGTCTATGATGTGTTAAGTTGAACTACAGATTCTCCTATGTCTGCTGTGAATATGAGTAAAGGCATCATCTTAATCTCCTCTTTGACACTGTAAGGCTGTACTTCCGGCTACAACGATCATTTATTTGACACTTCTTTCCAAACTGACTGACATCTGCACCCATCTATACGGTTGCGCTAAAGAAGGAAATCACAGTTTTGACTTCACTGTCCCAGCGAATACCCTTGAAGGGCACTATATAATCATAAGCCTGATATAGATGTAGCTGAATAATAATAAATGATCCGATTGAATCATCTAGTTTTGCAAAGCTATTGAAAGCATAAACACAATACATTGTAGGTAGAAGTCTTAAACGCTTCACCACCTGGGTTTTGCCCCACTGACTACCATCTTGTACAAGTGACTAAAATATTTAGATGAAAGAAAACGTGATAAAATGTAAGACTCTAAACCCCCAAGGAAAGCAATGGCCGATACCCTGGCTTCTTCCAAGAAATGGCTGGACGACTCTGGATCCTACTCGGATCATAAATCCACTCCCTTTCCAAGCCGCGAATCCAGTACAGGATGGCGAGGGGGAGGTGTGGGCACCAGGCAGGATACACCCTGGATGGAACGCCAGTCCATGGATAGATCGATTGCGTCCAATTACCTGGCTGATCAGTTGCAACCCAACAAGCAAGAACAGCCAGATGACCTCCCTTCCTTTCCAGCCCTTCGTGCCTTTTCTGGATAACTGCAACACAAATAATCCAGCCAAAAAGGGAAAGCACTCACTCAGGAACGGAGGTCTCTTCCTGGGAGAGAGGCACACTGTTTCTCTCTTCCTCTCCACTGGGAGGTTCAGAGCCCATGATGGTCTGCACAGTGACGTAGCGCTCGTAGTGCTCCAGCATCCATTTGATCTTCTCCTTTTTCACCCCGTGCTTGGTGCGTCTAAAAAACAACGCAGAAATGACAGGAGGACACAGCAGGCTACAGGTCTCTAGCTAAAGCAACTCTCAATGAAGAGCTCGGCAAAGTCAGGTCTGCAAGCACCGAAGTTCGAGTCAATCACCTTTTTGGTGTTTTTAATTATAGCCCAGATGTTATAATTATCCATGTTGTTATGGAACTATGGATGTTCAATTCCTACTGCATGCTGCTGGAACTGGAGCACCTGTCTGTTCAGTTTCTCAGCTACAACTGTCAATAAGAGGAGACAAAATGACCCAAACCGAAGCGTTAACCAGGCTTGACGATGCGTGGAAATGTTTAGGCATCAGACATTGCCAACAGGGGATCGCTCGTAAAAATCCGAATGTGGCCTGCATAGTTTACTAATCTGCTGCACATAACAAATGGATAAACCTCCAGAAAGGTCCAGATCACACAACAAAACTGCAGTTTCACCGATGCTCGTATTTAATATTGGGGACTGTATTTGCATCTAATTTATCGAGGTCAGTATTCGATATCTGATGCTTGAGTCAAATTTAAGTCAAGTGATCTTGACTTCGGATGAAATGTAAAACCGAGGTCCTGACTCTCTTTGGTCATTAAAAATCCCGGTGTGCTTCTCGAAAAAAGTAGGGGTGTAACCCCGACATCCTGTCCAAATTTCCCATTGGCCCTTACCAATCATGGCCTCCTAATAATCCCCATCTATGAATTGGCTTCATTACTCTGTTCTCCTCCCCACTGAGAGCTGGTGTGTGGTGAGAGTACTGGTGCACTGTGGCTGCCGTCGCATCATCCAGGTGGGGCTGCACATTGGTGGTTGTGGAGGGGATCCCCATTACCCGTAAAGCGCTTTGAGTGGAGTGTCCAGAAAAGCGCTATATAAGTGTAAGAAATTATTCTGATAATTATTAAGTGTAAGTCTGTGTCTGCGTGTCTATGGTGCAGGAGAAAAAAAAGGCTTCACCTTTCTAACTCTCGTGGCTTGGTCTTCCACCAGTTGTCTGGCTCCCGGAACATGACTCTGTATTTGTACCGGAGAGCCTGGGAAACAGAGCACACATGCCCGGCACTTCAGACCACAGCTTCCATAAATAATAAGATTTTACGAACAAAGCATACAATTCACTGCAAAATACTTCTAACAGTCCTAATACCAGAGGGGATTTGTAAAGAGAGGTGCCGGCTACTCTAAGTGCCTCTCTGAATAGTGTTTTTAACTGTGTTTTAGCCTCTCAGATATTGGGAAAAACAGGAGGAAGAGTCTCTTCCATTGCTAAGACGAAGTTCCCTGACTCTACTCTTATTAATCCACACTTCAGTTCAGTGACAACTGCTTCTGATGGTGGATCTTACACTCTGACACAGTGAATCACAGAACCTCACAGGGTTTTTTTGTTCATTGTTGACACTTGTTTAGTTCATCCAATTCCCTTTCCCATGATGCATCAAACTACTGTATTTATTATACAGCCAGAAATGTAATGTAAGGCACTGCACCACAAAAGGAGCAACTGCATGTAGTTCACGTAGGGGGCTGCATCAGCATGCGCAGGCTGCAAAGGAACAGGTTTATTCCATGCTGAAGGAAAAAGAGACACAACGTTTCGGATGTGAAGAAGAAGGACATCTGAAAAAGGCTCCACAGCTGAAACATCTTGTCTATTTTTTTCCCCTTTCAGCCTGGAATAAACCCTTACCAGCAATTGCATGCAGTTGCTCGTAAACGTTTTGCCATTTAACACTGCAGTCTGTGTTGTCCAAGCAAATTCAACCTCTGTAACGAGAACACCCAATGAACAGTCATGTGTTGTTGAGCACTAGGTTTCACAAAGCTTGGACTGCCTTACAGAAAAGCAGAAGATGCTGTAAAGCACGGGCAGATCCTCGAGAGTATTAGCAAGAGAGGTGATCTTCTTGCTTTTCAGCTCCAAAGCATTCTGGTAGACACACACGACACTAACCATAGCAACATACGGTTTCATTTCCCAACCTTGCATGTTCGTGTTATCAATTATGATTGGAGAGACTCCCTTTTCAAACGTTTCTTTGGCTGTAAAGAGGAAGAAAAGGAAAGGGATAAAAAAAAAATCAGTTTCTTGCAACAAAAATCAGTAAGAGGTGTTTGTAGCCATAGAGAAGCACTATGGCTTAGCATATGCAGCTAAACTGGGATGACAATATATTAAAACCTATGATCTGTCAAATACGACAAACGAATGACTTCTAATCCTTGTCAATACACATATGACATGTGTATGGTATATGATTTCACCTGAGGAAAGCTTGATCCAAATCACCAGTAAGAGAGTGGTCACCCTAGGCTGAGATGCTAGAGTAAAAGCATCATTCAGCACCATGGTACGATTTAGCTAAACAGGGATCTTTAAAACACTGGGGAGCAACATGAACTGTGTGGAGTCAAAAACCGCTGCAAGAGTGCAATTAAAAGTGGAAAAAAAGCACATCTAATTGAATACTAAGTATCTCTTACAGATTAATCGGGGGTACCTTTTTAAGGCAGTAAAGGGAATGCCTTAGTGGGTAACAATTCCAATATTCAATGTGTTGACATGCACGAAATAACAGGAAAACAGCCTGTGAAATTGGGATTTCTAATACCACCTTGTTATAAACGGCAGTGAACCTTATACAATTTATTTTACATGTACAACAAAGGTTTGCAGTACTTTTGTACTATTTTGAACTGTCTGGTCTCCAAGGACCACACATGGCTCACTACTGCTTTAAATCATCCTGGGAACCTCAGCGGTCACCTTCCACCACTTCGACTGAAATGAAAAGACTTCTGTGGTGACCAAGGACCTGAATTGGAGAACTTCTGCCAGCCTTTTCTCCTTCAAAACCGTTTTACTGCACAGCGACAATTCTCGCAAACTTTTTTTCAGTTTACCTTAAGTACTCCCCGTTTCAAGGGCCGCTGGCTTGACCGCTCTCGACTGGTGGGGCAGAATGGGAAAAAAATTATCCTAGCAACTGCCGGCACGGCTTTAACAACCCCTCGCTTGTTAGCTCAGATCTGGGAATATGATCAAATAAAAATGGCAGCTCCCGATTCCCCACGCTCCCACTGCGCGGCGTGAGACACTGGGCCCCTCCTGGCCAGGTCGTCGGTGCGAGTCACAGTTTGTCCGCACCGAGCCATATCGCACGGAAGACCGGCGTCCGCTTTTACCTTGTCTGTGGTTCCACTCGTGCGCCTTCTCCAAGGAGGAGGAGTTGAACCTGTAACCTCCGTTGCGGCAGAAGTAGTCATCGGTGCTCAAGACGACACCCCCGGGGTTCTGTTCTAGAAGGTTCCTGGACACAATAACGCCACAACACTGCTCACTCAGGAGGAGGTGGAACAACAGCACCGGCACACTCGGGTGATTTTCTAGTGACCAAGGCCAAAGCAACGCATCAAATTACTTCGTGTCCCGAAGCGTTGCACAGCTTAATCTCTTCTGGTACTGATTTTTTTTTTTTGTTGCTTCTTAGCTTGAAGATTTTAACTAAAGGGAGTACAGTTAAAGACTACGCACATGATGAACAGGACAGATTGAATCAATCACTCCTGAAGAAGGCTCCACGGCCGAAACGTTGTGTTCTCTTTCTTCTTTTTTTTCAGCATGGAATAAACCTATTACTTGTTCAGATTGAATCAATTGCATTTATGTTCTCGCATCAAGACACAAGTGGCAAACTGCTTTATATTGTGCTCAGTAGTCAAGTAAGTCTTAAACAACATTTTAACTCAAGAGAATGATTTGCCTGCTCACTATGGGATGTGCTCTTAGAGACTAGTGAACTACTGTATGCCGAAAGTACCATTTTAAATAATGTTAAACACTTTATGGTTTGAAGTTTTGGTTTTGTATAGACAAAATAAGCAGTGCTCATATACTGTAGGCCTGTAGGGAGGTGATCTCTAGCCTGTGACCTCCTTGATTCTGCGGTCTATTGTCACTGCCCACTGAAAATCTTCCCTTCCTCTTATTTGAAGACCAAATACTGACCTCATCGACTTTATCTACTAGCATGAGTGTCAGGTCCCAACAGGTCACAAAGAGCAAAAAAAAGAGTGTTGTACAGAAACCCATCTCCCAATGTTGACTGAAGAATGCACTGGCTTTATTTTGAAAAACTTGTTTCAATAATGAGAAATTAGGCATTGTGTCTAATTTCTTAGGGCATTAGGCATCGTCCCTGGAAATACCTGTGGGCCTACAGTTCTGTCCTTATCTCATCACACCGTAATTTCCACTTATCTCCTGCCACTCGACACCCTTGGTCTCTGTGCTCAGCTGAAAAGACTGTTTTTCAGAAAAAAATTCAGACGACACCCTGTTGGGTGGTGTGAGCAATATGTGTGTTAGTGCGGCCTGGAAAGGATTATGAGACGATACAGATGGTTTTCTTTGGATCAAGGATCACAATGACCCCGACTGAAGAGACTGGCACAGGACAATCCCTGCGCACACGCCTTTGCAAAGCTAAGCAATTTATCGGAATGAAACAATTCTCCAAACGTGCGAGCTGACCCGGCCGCACACCTCCGCGCTAGCAGTACCTGGCCAAGGTGGACTTTCCGGACCCGGGCGCACCCCTCAGCAGGACGAGAACCCGGCCCACCAGGACCGGTATCTTCCCAGAGCCGTGCAGTGGAGGCCGGGGCGGCGCCGGCAGGGCCCGGGATGCTGGGATAGGGGCGGGCGGTCTGAAGGGAGGCGCCCGGCCGCCGGCTCCCGGGTCGGAACCGGGCCTCCAGTGCCCCGGATCGGCCGCCAGGGGGGTGACGAAGGCGGGAGCTCTGCTGCGCGGCTGGAACTCCGGGGCCTGGGTGTTCCAGATCACGGGCGCGGCCGGCGACCTCAGGGACCGGTCCGCAGCGCGGGTCTCCGAGCCGTGGCCCGTCCCCTGCTCCGCCTCCCCCAGCTCGCTCCCATTCGGGCTGCTGCCCTCCCCACCACCAGCAGGGGGCGCGCGAGGAGGTCTGGAGCTCTTGTACGCCTGGAAGGCAGAGGGTCTCCCGCTATCCCCCAAGTCCAGCGCCGCTTGCCTGCTGCTCTCAGGCTCCAGCGCCAGGTGGCTGAAGTCGAGGAAAGTGGTCTCTCCGGGGCAATACCCTGCCCCGGTTAAACTCAGCCCGCTCGCTGGGGAACAGCTTGGCACAAGCTCTTGCTGCTTGGGGCCCTTGCCCCTGTCTTGCTGCCATTCTGGGGTGGACCTGCTGGCCGTGCCGGACATGATCGGCCCCGGATGCTCGCTGCTGACACCCGAATCCTCGGCAGGCTGGACAGCGCCGTCGAACGGCTCCTTCGCCAGAGCCCGGAACTCACTGTCTATCAGCTCGTCAAAGTCCTCGGTCAGGTGCGTCCCGATCGCGTCCAGGTCCCGCAGGCTGGCCTGTGAGGCGGCGGCGGTGGCGACGGTGGGGGGGCTCGTCTCCACGGCTCGGGAGGCGTGGGCCCCAGCTGGGGGGCCGGGAGGTAAAAGCGCCGTGGTGGACTCGAAGCCCAGGGGGCAGCAGGCAGGGGAAGCCCCCTCCGCGGCGGTAGACAGCATGAGGAGGGAGTCCATCGCCGCTTCAGCTGGGAAACAGGGGAACAGGAGGAGTCAGCCTTGTTAACCGTTTGGGTAACAGCAGCAGCAATAGTGTTCTTACGTAGGTTATTCGGTGCTCGGCTGGGGTACAAAAGAGTAATGCAGGGCGATTTTCTAGACCATGGGAGCAAATCGTAAGGCTTTATGTGTAAAGTAATAAGAATTTCATTTCACACATTTTTTCCCTTATGAACATGAATCAAGGAATGGCCGTATTATCCCTTCAATAACTTGATCTCTGTACATGCAACCTGTAAGTATCACCTTTTGCCTATATAATTCGCAATCCTCTGTGCCACTGAGCTATGCATGTTGACAGGAGTTTAGTATGGACCCAGGCATATTTGCATGGATTTTAACATTTGGCAAAATATAAAGGTGTTATTTAACTCGGAAAAGACACCTTCATGCTTCATCTGAGTGGAAATAACATTGTTCCCCGCGGAAGACCCTAAAATAGCTAGGGGGTTGTGCTTTTGAAATGTCTTCATTTTTATGTAAAAAAATAATATTATCTAGAAACGCACAATGTTATTATCTTGTAACTGTACCAATTTTTAAATTGTATGTAAAAAACATATAACTATTATTGAAAACTACTATTTGAAACAAAGTATCGGTCCGTCAAAAAAAAGCAACACCGACAACTTCCCATAAGATGGTTGATTATATACAGCTGATAGGGACTGACCTGATCCCTGGTGTTAACACCTCAACTGAACAAGCAAGCACCTGTTTCTCAATTCGCCGATTTCAGCATTCCTGACACTGACCGATAAACTGCGGGACAACAGCCTGAAATATGTGATTTGAAGACATGCAACATGTCCCACTGATTTAATGTCAAACGCAACAGTTGGGATAAATACAGTAATACCCCACATCTCAAACAACGTGGACAGTCCACTCATAATTTTCCGTTCCCGAAAAACAGTGCACGGCTATTGCAAAGTGGGACAACCTGAAACTCTCTTGGATGGGACAACTTAAAACTATCGTTACTGTGCTGTTGTGGGTTGAATTTGACCATTTGACCAGATAAATCTGAGAATACTCAGATGTGGTCATGAAGCGTGCATGTCCGTGCGAGCTTTAGCGAAACTTGAAGTCTGCCGAGACGATTTATATATATATAAAAAAAACATCTACTGCCGGATTGTAAGACTTGTTTACATTGCAGTGCGGGGCACTGCTGTCAGAGGGTGGAGGGCAGCACCGGTTAGGCCCCGTCCGGGCCCTCAGCCTCGATTTCCAGGGCATGTGCGGCTCTCCCGTGGGGGAGCCTGGGTGCGCGGACGTGCCCAGCGAGGCGCCGCGCTCACCTTGGAAATCGCACTCGGACAGAACGATATAAATGACTTCGGGGTCCAGGTGCCAAAACATCTCCCTCATGCGGTTCAGGATTTCTTCTCTGCCCGAGCTGGAGCTGGGGGGCTCCGTGCCAAACCTCCGCGACATCGCTCCGTCTTTCCCCGTAACGCTGCCGCCTTCGCCGGCGCTCGGGTTCGGCACCCTGGCCGGGCTCTGGGCGCTTTTCTTCTTCCGAGGCATTTTCCGGGCGCACAATGCTAACTTTCACTCCTTCTGGGTTGCACGGCAGCGGAGGCCATCAACACCACGATCAAAACAAGCGTGTGGCCTGAAACCAGACGTGCGCTTCGACTAGAGCGCGCCTAGCGGGGAGGTGTGAGCAAAGCGCCCTGTAGCTACACCGTATCCAGGACAGAAATATCGACGCTTCTCTAGTTCAGGTTATCATTTCATGTTCATAAGGACATTGCAAAGCTTTTGCAAAATTAGGACACTCCATCCCACGAGGAAGCTCGTCGCTGTTAGTCACCCGGTCGATTTTATTTATCAGGTCTGAACAGTGTTTCGGTAAAAGACAGCCCTGGTTATCGTTTTGCAGGGGAACCCGAATACATCTGCACGCTTTCACAGCTGAATTCCTGATTTTATTCCCTGCTAGTCAGCACATTAAACTCGTTTAGGCCTTTCCGCTTTCGGATCTGATTGTGTAACGACGGGCTGAAACAGTATATTTTGTGTATTTGGTATGTGAAAGACAAAGACACCATAGTTTTAGACTCAAACCATCAAATTAGTCCTATTTGGTTTAAAACTGTAATGATCAACTCAGATTTGAATGATGTGCCTACATATCCCTATAGCAGTGAAGTTATACACTGCCGTGTCCATTAGTCGGCGCTGTCACTTTTTTCCTGAGGTGGGACTTAAAGGTTTGTTTTTAACACTTGGGATGGGCGGTTCGGTGTACCGTGTAAACGGACAAAGAAGCGAATCCATAAAGTTTTTCCACAAAAGTTTCCTCCCAAAAATAACACCCGCCTACATTTCAGACTAGTCCGAATGTTATCAGAAGAAGAATTTATAATCAGCCTCTTCGCATTAAAACGTGATGGATGATTGAGCAGTACCAATAATCGTTCCGTAGGTGTACAATCAACACTTGGGGCATAGTGTGTGTACCGATTGTAAAATGTGTGTTATTGCGTGTTCAGAAATGTATTATCGAAGTTGTCTCGGATAACACCGATTCTCGAGTGCTCCCGGGCTCCTGCGAGTTTCAATAAAAACAAAATTGACTGGTGGGTCTAAAACTTTCCTTTGTCAATATGAAACCGCTCGAAGACTTCAAGAACAACTTGAAATTGGTCCAGTTAAATCATTAAGGTCCGAGATGCAATAAAAACCACGGTGGGGGTGGGGAAACCTTGGTTATTTTAAGGGTGTACTACGCCAGCCGGCATTTTTGTCACAACATGAGACCGTCCGTAGGTGCAGAAATGCTCAAAACCTGCGTCCCAACTTAAATAGCGCCCTCGGGGAGGGTTTCGGAGCGAAGACAACGCACGCCGAAAGTCGTGCCCGCCTGCAGTTTTCGGGGTCCTGCACTGCACTGCGCGGCGGGCGTAGCGGAAAGAGTCGGTGCGCCCGTATGCGCGGCAGTACGGTAGCGGGCCCCGGAAAGAAAGGGGGAAGTTTGCGTTGACGTCACTCGGCGGAGAGACTCCCGCCTCTCTCGGCCCCCCCGCCCCGCCTCGCTCCGCCGCTGGGTGGCGCTGCGCCTCCGTTCTCACCCGGGGAGGGGGGACTCGAGAGCGAACGGGACCTGCCTGCCGGAGCTTTTGTTGTTGGGACTGGAAAACCACCTCAGACCCGGCTCATGCGCTAGCCACGGCACATCCATGAGGTAAAAAAAACAACAACACCATAACACCGGCTTGCGGGGCTCTCGCTTTAGGGGAGAGGGGAGAAGGGGGGAAAAGCAGCGCCCCCCCCCCCAAAAAAAAAAAAATGTCTCGATTTTTCTTCCCCGGCGATGTCCCCCGAGCAGGCGCGTGCGGGGAGGGAGGGCGACGGTGCCCTGTGTGGGCAGAGGCAGAGACTGCGGAGCCGAAGTTGAAGAAACAAACAATAAGTAAATGAGTGGTGTTTTCCCGCACAAAAATTAGAAGTTGGCGGCCGTGCCACGGAAATAAGGCGGCGATACACCCGGCGCTCCCCCCTCCAGGGCTGGCGTAAGGGGGCCAAACAGCGCCGCGTTCTTATTTTTGCCGGTTTTTTATTCTTCGCTAACGTGTGTAATTTGAATAGTTTTGCGGCCTAACGCCTAGGCCCAGTATTTACCAGGACGGGGCTGGCTGGGGAGCTCCCCTCGCTGCCTGCCGGAGCGATTTGGGCGACCGGCGCCGAAAATCTCAATCGGGCGCCTGTTGTTGGGGGTCGGGTGCAGGAGAGTGCATTTTCGATCACGTTTCATTGTGAAATGTTTACTTTTCTACCCTGATTGGTCGCCGAGAGGGAATGAAAGAGGGAGCCGGAGCTGCTTCCCGTCTGGGGGCTTTTAAGGATGTTTTTCCTTTCTCAGGGAAGGGGTGATCCGCGGATCCGGGGCTTGTGGAGAATCCAAGGGGCCTTCGTTGGCTTGATCAACCGTGTGTTGTTTCGTTTTGTGGAGGAGGGGGGGGTGAGGCTGAAAATGGGGTGAAAAGTGCGGTACATTCGTGCTGGTGAACTTTTGTTTTGTGACCGATAGAGGCCAGTAGCGCGCTGTGCAAGAGACGCCGACAGCATGGAGTTCCCGCAGCAGCCCAGACCCGCAGACGGCAAGATCACCTACCCGCCCGGGGTGAAAGAGATCACCGACAAGATCACCAACGATGAGGTCGTCAAGCGGTTAAAGGTAAGCACTGGGCCTTTCACCGGCGTCTTGAAGAAAATAAAAAGACTGGTTCAGCCTGCTCGCTCTGGACTACATCGCAAAGACTACATAATTACATAATGCACCATTACGTACACGTGTGGAGAGGATTTCTTCGTACACATGTCCATTTGTAACGTGAAAGTGCTTATTTTTGCAGGCAACACACTCTGCAGATGTACACCTTTAATAGTTAGAGAAGGAATCGTTTGCAAAAGAGTAGACAAGCTGTCTGCTCAGGGAGGTCAAAGGTACTAGTGAATCTAGGAGTTTCTATGAAATATCAGCAGTATTTTCCTCCCACCGGTACTGGGCTTGTGTGTAGAAATAAAGAAGCCTGTATACTATATGTATAAATGTCAAATCACTAGAGCCCGAACAGTTTAATCAACGTTTAGTCTTTTTCCACTTTCCCGCATGAGGAGATTAATTACGTTGTAATGCTTTTTTTCCCCCAATTGGAAAGCTTTAACATGCGACGGAGGCTGCTGCCGAGAAATTACTGTCGTTGAATGGGTGGTTCGGTTCGGTTAACTGTCATGTGCACGAGTGCGATGAAGTGCTTATTTGCAAGTACTGTATGCTCCAGTATAAAGACGTTAAGGAAACGCCAAAAAAACAAACACAGAACAGCAGCAGCAGCAGCAAGTTAAATAACATACAACTTAAAAAACCAGCAGTGTGAGCCCAGGGTGGCGGTAGAGTTCAGTAATCTGATGGCTTGTGGGAAGAAACTGTCTCGGAATCTGCAAGCTTGTGCCTTTATGCTCCTGTAACGCTGACCTGAGGGAAGGGGGGAGACAAAGGAGGAACCAGGATGACTGGTATCCTTAGCGATATTTCCATCCTTCCTGAAACAGCGAGTTGTGGAAAATGTCCGAAAGAGAGGGGAGCTATACTCCGATGATGGACTGGGCTGTAACACCTTCTGGTCAGACAACGAGCTGACGAGCTAAACCACTCGGCACTGTGTGTTGAATGTGCTGTGTGGTAAATTCTCTTCCTGGCCAGTGAAGGTGTCTGGGTGGACGCGATCGTGTCTCTGCACGGTTTAATAGTGACTCAAAACGGCAGTCGCATGAAGCACCTTTACTGGGGTTTGCTCACAAAACCACTTGGGCTGAGCCAGTTTGGAGGAACGTTGCCTGGTCCTCTCTCGGCCAGGTTACCCGGAGTCTAGGGCTGCAGGTGGCTGTCATGGCACCCAAGGGGGCTCCCACAGAGAACAGGAAGGAACCTGCAGTAAATCTCGGTTAAACATTAAGAGTGCAGGACCTTTGCTGACCTGTTGTTACTTCGGGGAAATAGCTGTGTACATGTGTATATACTGGGCCTAGTTGTGCTGCACCATGTGATCAGGTGCTACAAGGCTTTGCCTTTATATCGATCTGATCATGCGAGAGAGTCTTTGAAGCACTTGACGTACAGGAGGGGACCTGCTTCAGCACTGAAGTGCAGCACCCACCCGGGACACACGTGACTATGTACAGAGCAGGACAGGTGGATACGTTTTCAGGTCCTTCAGCTTAATTAAGGAGAGAGCTTGAGGCAGGCAACATTGTACAAGGCCCAAGCAGAGAGGGTTAACGCCCCCCTACTTTCAAAGAGTGCCCTGAGTGTTATTTGGTAAGCAGATGAAGTCTAGATGTGCACCTGTCTCAAGAGTTGTGCAGCTCTCTGCCCGTGGCTCTCTGAAACTCATGTTTACAACTCGACAACCACGAGGCTTAACATGGCGCAAACATCAGGATCTTCTCTACTGATGGGTGTCTGGGGATCTGCTCTCGTTCCGTTTAATGCACCTAGTTTGCGTTCTCTTCGACTAAACTGTTTTCGGATCTTTTGCAGAATTTTCCCAATTTGTCTTGAAAACGCTAGTGCGCAGCCGGAGAGCTTGTGCCTGTTCATAGCCGTGTGTTTTGTCCGTCTTCATAAAGAAAAGAGTTCCATTTCTCGTAGCTCTTTGAAGGCATTGCAATGCTGCTTTTGATAGGTTTCGGTTGTCCTGGTAAATTAGAGGCAGACCCAATCAAGACCCGTTGGATTTTGAGTTTTTTTAACACTGGACACTTCGGGTCTGCCTCGTTGGCGGGAGTTTATAGCAGGTAGTGTTTTCCAGTGTTGCAATGGTGACCTCCATGGAATGATCATTCAGATTCAGTGCAGGGTTCAGTTTTCTTTTTTTATTTGAATTGCCATTCCAGACGGGTAACAACCTACCGCCGGCGTTTTGACCGGTAAATAAAAGCAGGAAGTGATGGTTATTTGTATTCGTCCTGGACTCCCTCACCAGGTGAATCGTATTTCTCTCCTGCTATGAGCGGTTTTTCCAGCACCGGTTCTTGCCCCTGCTCTTTGGGTTTAAGAGCCCTTCAGCCCAGTTCGTAAACCAGAAAACCCCTCTGCGTGCTGGCAATGAAGATTTCACACTGCTCTGGGTCAGCATTGCTCAGCCCACTCCCCTTCCTGTCCATTCCAGTGAATGCAATGCAGTGCGATGCCCATCACCTCTGTAATTCTCCTGCTTATCAATTTAGTAATGAAGGAGCCGGTTAAAGTGGAATTCTTCAATGGGAAGGGCTGAAGGTGCTCCAGTTTGGATAGCTGTGCAAAGCGTTGTGGATTTGTTGGCCCTGATTATCGAGCAAGTGGCCTTCGTGCCACACGATTAGACTGGATCTGCCAGGCTGTTCTCCTTGCACTTACAGTTTATTGAATCTAGAGTGAGGTTTAAGTTATAACTGAATAAACGGGGCCATGGGTCCCTTGTGGCTGGTCCCAAGAGTGGCTTCTGCACTTCAGTATTGCAGCGATAGAATGTGGTGAGAGACTTGCAATCGAGCACTCAGCTGTCTGTACATTGTTCCACTTGTATTGTTTCAGCCTCGTATATATTGCCACCTATACACAGATGTCTGCCTCAAAAAAAGATTCGTTATCATATTCATTGTTACACTGCTACTCAATAGCAGCGAACAGCTGGCAATATCAATAAAAACAGCAGATGAGAACGTGTCGTATAATAAAAATAGCAGACTGTATAGTATACTGGTTTAAAGGGTAAGGAAATAAAACTGAGATATGTTACCACTAGGCATGTGTTGTTCAGACAGATCACAGCCTACACAAGTTTTCTATTTAATAGTAGCACAGAGACATCTAACTAACTTTCCATTAATGTTTTTATCAAGAGAGGTCCAAATCAATTTTTAGACATTCTTCCAGCTGGGCCTTTTACAGAAGCAATCTGAATGAAGTACTTGCTCACAGGGACAGTGCTAACCCGATGGATTTGAGCCCTACCAGTCCAGTACCTTATCCCTAATCCACACCGATGCCTGAACACAGCATTGTAGTTTTTGCATCCCATACAATACTAAGAAACGGGAGTTAAATTACACGTTTGTAGATGTGATACCAGAACAGAGACACTCTTTTGGAAAACAATCAGTGCACTGGTGAATAAAAAATAAAACTGCTTGTATTTTCATTGGTAGACTCAACAGGCATACATGTGTTTTCCAGAAAACAATAATATGGTGTTTTTGGGGGGGCTGGGGAACTAAAAGGATCACTGTGTCAGTTCAGCCAAGCATGTAATTACTCTGCTTTAGAACTAACTGTAAGAAATTAAATTGGAGCTAACTACGAAGTCGTTTTTTTTTTTATTTATTGATTGTCTCCTGATAAGGAATATCATATTTTGGTGTTCACCCCAATTTTGAGTTTGTGGAGCTGCAGAAAACTGCCAAGCTGTTTTTAGAGCTACAATTTGGATGAGACGTAAAACCGAGGTCCTGACTCTCTTTGGTCATTAAAAATCCCTGGGCGTTTCTCGAAAAGAGAAGGGGTGTAACCCCGGCATCCTGGCCAAGTTTCCCACTGGCCCTTACCAATCATGGCCTCCTAATAATCCCCATCTATGAATTGGCTTCATTACTCTGCTCTCCTCCCCACTGATAGCTGGTGTGTGGTGAGGAGCGTTCTGGCGCACTATGGCTGCTGTCGCAACATCCAGGTGGGGCTGCACATTGGTGGGGGTGGAGGGGATCCCCATTACCTGTAAAGCGCTTTGAGTGGAGTGTCCAGAAAAATGCTATATAAGTGTAAGCAATTATTATAATTATTATAAAACACTCTCATTATTTTTCCCACAGTGCAGTTATGGGCCATGTTTTTTCTCTAACCTCATTCTGTTTACTGGTCAGAGGTGATGGTGTGGTTGAAAAGTAGATGTTGGCACGAAAGCCTGATAGGAGCGTCATTTTCACGATTAGAGTACCGCTTATTCCTTGTGTGGATGCAGTCTTACCCGGGAGCATGAGGGGCAGGACTACAGCAGCTACACCCTGGAGGGGATGCCAGTTCATCGCGGGATAGACGTACAAGCACACTGGGGTCATTTGGAGACGCAGTTAGCCTAGTCAGTCTGACTTGGCAAAGGGGAAGGAAACAAGCCCCTGGAGAAAACGATCGTGAGCACAGAGATAACCAGCACGATCCGAACAGAAGCTGCACCAGTCCAGAAATGGGTGCAGGACCCAAGAGCTGTGAGACTGTAGCGCTGGGTACCGTGCCAGTCCTGTAAGCTGCATGTAGGAATTGAAAGATGACTCCAGCATACCAGTGAGGGGGACATCAGTGAGATCCCCCCACTCCCCCACCACCACACTGCATCCTGTGTTGCTGTAACACCAGGCTAATTTGGGGATGTTCCTCATTCTGAATAAGAAATTAAAGGATTAACAAATTTTCAATGCACTTGCATTTGAGCAAAGCAGGGAAGCTACCCAGGGAGAAGAAGTGGAATGTAAGGATTACAAGTGATCTCCTTCAGGTGGATTAAAAATTATTTCTGCCAGCCAGGCCTTCTCCTTCCCAAAATTGTCCTGTATCTGATGATGAAAGGGGTCTTTAGAGGAGGGAGAGAAGTGTGAGATGGGTCTGCTGTAGCCCTGCACATAGAGCATGATGCATCTTAAAACACAGAGAAGCTTATGAAACAGTGGCAGTGTGTGAGAAGGAACTGTTTTTTTATTTTTTTATTTCATTTTTTACAACTAAGGATAAGGTATCTTTAAGGCTACCAGTCATCCTGGTTTCTCCTTTGTCTCCCCCCTTCCCTCAGGTCAGCGTTATAGGAGCATAAAGGCACAAGCTTGCAGATTCAGAGACAGTTTCTTCCCACAAGCTGTCAGATTACTGAACTCTACCCCCAACCCCGGGCTCACACTGCTGGTTTTTTAAGTTGTATGTTATTTAACTTGCAGCTGCTGCTGTTCTGTTTGTTTTTTGGTGTCTTTATTTTGGAGCATACAGTACATGCAAATAAGCATTTCATATGCACTTGTGCACATGACCATAAACAGAACTGAACTGTTTTTGTGAACTACTGAAGGCAGCTTCCCATAAGATAAGGACTGTGACCAATCCTGCCTGATGCAGTTTTGACCTGGCGAGGCGATCAGGACCTGACCTGACCTGTGCAGGTTTCCATGCAGTATTTGAGCTTTTCAAGGACACTACTTTCCTTTATAACAGCGGGCTCTTTCCATTTCATACTGGTCTTCCTAAGGAAGACAGCTCCTTGGGAGAGATGGAGACCCCCATGGATTATTTGGGGGCGGGGGGGTGAAAGGGGGCGCTCCAGGAGGTTTTAATCTACGCTTGTTGAGCTTTCTGAGGAGCCAGGAGCACAGGTCTTGCTCTCCAGCAGGAAAAACCGTGTTGGAGTGAAGCACAGCAACCCCGCCTCCACCCCTTCCCATCCCCCTTCCTCTCTCCCTGTTGGCTGCTGCTCAGGCTGTGGAGGGTTTATCAGCCAGAAGAAAGATCCTCTGGGTCCTAAAGCCCTCCTAATAAGGGTAACGATTCACCCAAGCGTTATCCTTAGGCTGGGGTGAAGCCTCAGCCACTTGACAATGAAAAATCCGTTTTCTGAAAAGCCCCGAGACCGTGAGTAATCGGGCGTAAAGAAAGGGGGAATATTTACCAGATCCGTGCTTTGCCGAGCCCCAACCGGGGTCCTCAAACTGGTTCTGAAAGCCGGACACAAGGGAGTTTTGGCTCGTCTGAAACCTCTTGACGAGGCTGAGGAAGTGCCAGTGCGCACAGTTCCCTGCCACACTACCATCTGCCCTCTGCCGCGGAGACACACGTCTGCGCAAGCAAGTGAATTAGGCCCTGGGCCGCAATGCTTAAAGACCAGGATACTTGGTTAGCTCGTTAGAGGGCTAGAATGCATCAGGGAGCAGTGTGCTTTACTGTGGTGCTTTCAGGAGGAAACTAGCTCTCGCACTGCGGTTTTAGGACTGAGCGCTTCCTAGACAGTGGTGGGGGGAAAATAACCGGCCAGTATACGAATAATTGCATACCAGTTTAAAGACACTGGCAGCAGTTTACAAATCTTTTTTTTTTTTCAAATACTTTCCAGAGTAAAAACCCTTTTGGAGCCGCGGGGACTGTTGTCAGTGTCTGTGGACGCAGACCCCAGCGAGGCGGCCGCAGCTCGGGCGCTCTCGGCTGACACCGGGTCCGTGCGGACTCCAGTCCGGCAGGGGTTCCCAATCCTGACCCTCCAGGCCCTCGTGCCTGATGAGCTTAATTACCTCCTTGAAGCTTAATTGAATGATCAAGTTGCTTGATAGAGATAGTTTCAAGTTTTTTTTTTTTCCCCAACAAAATACAATTAAAAGGCATCCTCTCAACAGGTTTAGGATCTAAAGGCGGTTCAGATTTATCCTACTGTTTAAGTCAATTAAAGATTCAGTTGTGTGATTGAGTGCTTGGTTGGAACGGGAACCAGCAGGCATGTTGGCCCCCAAGACCAGAATTGGGAACCCCTGAGTTAAGACAGGCAACACACAGTGCAATGTAAGACTCACTGATTTTAAACTGGTTGGTTCCAGCAACCCTACTGTCTTTGGTCAGTTCAGCTTACAACAGTCCATGACTTGACTGACTGACAGCAGAAGATTAAGCGGTTACGTTTGAGGATGTTTTTGATTGTGGGAATGATTATGACTGTGGTGTACGGTTACTTTTGTCTGTTTAGTCTGTTGATTGAGCGCTGAACCCTAACTGGGGAAAACCCCTGCCTACTGGCTCAACTGTTACAGCTGTTGTCTTTAGCCTTAAACAGACTGTTTGCAGGATTGGATCGTCTTTGTTCTTCAATCATCGTTCAATCGTTGTTCTGCCATATGTGTTTAGAATGAGTTACAGCACAAACTTAAACTGGATAAGTTTCTATCTGGGGCATTTTTTAGTCACAGGTTTGGCCCGGCTGTGCCTGACGTCTCCACCTTTTGGTATTTGTAGTTTTAGAACCAATTTGATCAGCCATCCTAGGTAGGAGCTATATCACCCTGCAACTCACAGCTGGCAACCCACTGAAGCTAAGCAGGTGGCTGAGTCTGGTCAGCACCTGGATGGGAGACCTCCTGGGAAAAACTAAGGTTGCTGCTGGAAGAGGTGTTAGTGGTGCTAGTGTGGGTCCTAATCCCTCAGTATAGTGATGTATGCAGTATAATGGCCTATTATACCATAAAAAAGTGCCGCCCTTTGTAAAACTAAGGTCCTGACTCTGTGGTCATTAAAAATCCCAGGGAGTTTCTCGAAAAGAGTAGGGGTGTAACCCCAGCGTCCTGGCCAAAGTTCCCACTGGCCCTTACCAATCATGGCCTCCTAATAATCCCCATCTGTGAATTGGCTTCATTACTCTGCTCTCCTCCCCACTGATAGCTGGTGTGTGGTGAGCGTTCTGGCGCACTATGGCTGCCGTCCCATCATCCAGGTGGGGCTGCACACTGGTGGTGGGGGAGGGGAGTCTCCATTACCTGTAAAGCGCTTTGAGTGGAGTGTCCAGAAAAGTGCTATATAAGTATAAGCCATTATTATTACCCGTCCATCCTTTTCCTTGCCAATTTATCCAATATAGGGTCGCAGGTTAGCTAGAGTCTACCCTGTCAAGCGTCGGGAGTAGGGAAAGATGCACCCTGAGCAGGATGCCAGTCCATCCCAGGGCGCACACACTCGCACCCGAGCCAGTTTTACAGAGGCCAATTAACTCAGTAGAGTGTTGACTGTGGGGTGGGGGAGAATAGAGAACAAACCACTCAAATAGCACCCGAAGACCAGAAGTGAACCCTGGACACCAGCACTGCGAGACAGCAATGTCTCACAATGTCCCACTGTGCCTCCCCTGATTAGATCAGTTCTTGAAGGATGTTTCTGCAGTCTGGTGGTTGGGTTTTCCACTGCAACGATGCCGCTGGGCCAGGAGACCCCTTTGTCTAGTTAAAAATAGGGCTGATCGAATGTACGCGCCTGTCTGTCTGCCCGCCAGATGGTGGTGAAAACGTTTATGGACATGGACCAGGACTCGGAGGACGAGAAGCAGCAGTACCTTCCCCTGGCCCTGCACCTGGCCTCCGAGTTCTTCCTCAGGAACCCCAACAAGGACGTGCGCCTCCTGGTGGCCTGCTGTCTGGCTGACATCTTCAGGATCTACGCTCCTGAGGCGCCCTACACCTCCCACGACAAGCTCAAGGTACGCTCTCCCTCGTGGTTTCAGCTGACGAACAGCTGCCGCCGCAGTGTAGATGCCCTGTTTCTGAACCAAGGTAGTTCTTGGATTTTCTGAGCAGTGCCTGGTCTAGGTTTGGAAATCACTGTATAACACTGCTACAGCTACAGGCGTACTGATGTCTCTAAAGATGGCACACAGCATCATGGCATCAGAAACCAATTTATTAGACTGTTCTAGATACTGGCCAGGGTAATTGTTCCTTAAACATATTGCTCATTCACTGCTTCAGCTTACTGTACGTCACTGTTTGAATATACACTTTTACCTCATTTTACACAGGAGTTCTGTTCCTGGAAATTCCTGTGGTGGGGGAAAAACCGCTTGTAGAGAATAGTGATGATGATACTTGTAAAAATAGCCCCTACTTTCTTCTTGAATACACAGTACTTACAATACAAGCCAATGCAACACATCCGTTTTGCTGCCTTTTCTGAGTAGGATTCTCTTACCGAAGCCGTGTTTCCAGTTATTTTCGAGAAAGTTGGTTTGTGAAGCAAGGCCTTGAGTGCACTGAAAGGCAGGGAGATACCAGCGCAGAGGCTAGGGTTGGGAGCCTGTTACTGCAGGCGCACATCATCAAAACAGAAAAAGAAAGCCTGAACGGCTTGAATGTTGTGTAAGGTAATTGCTTGATGTTTCCAACAGATGCTTGTGTCCTAAGTGTCGGATTTTTAATCCTTGATGCAGTGAATTGGAAAGCGTGTTCTCAGAGCTGAGGAGGTTCTTATGGAATAGTTGCACCAGCCTGCTCGAGTTTTGCAGCAAGAGACGATCAGTCCAGTCTTGGACCCCCCTGGTGTAATCTGGTTGCGTGGCCATGAAGGGAGACCCCAGAAGTCATTGCTCAGAACTGGCTGCCAGGTCCTGGCTCTGGGGTACCTGGGGCTCTGCAGTTCTGGTCACTTGACCGTGTTGTTTCTCTCTCTCTCTCCAGGACATTTTCTTATTCATCACACGGCAGCTGAAGGGGCTGGAGGACACCAAGAGCCCACAGTTCAACAGATACTTCTACCTGTTAGAGGTGCGTCCAGGTGACACCACGCGTGCCCGTTCTCTTTTTCAGGCTGCACACAAGGACCACAGGGCTGAGATGAAGCTCATACTGAAGACGTGTTAGAATTTTTATAAATCCTACTTTTTGATTTGGTTATTTTCACAATGATGTTTGTTGCTTATTGACTATCAGTCCTTAAGGGTGGATCAAAGGCATCACTGTACTTATAGGACTAGTTTGTATCACTTTTGTTCCAGGGTGATTATCGAAGCTATACACTAAACCTGGGTTACTCAAGTTACAGCCCTTGCAGTGCACTTACTGTAGAGTTTTTAAGCAGCTCCTTAATTCTTAAATCCAGGCTTAGATCAATATCCTGATTTCAGTTCTGCACTGCGATTGAGAGCAGAGAGGCTGCAGTTTAATAAATGTGTCGGATACAGGAATGGTCAATGTAAGTGTGGCATAAATCTCTTGAGTGTCAATGCTTGGGCTTACAAGGTGTCAAGTGCAGCAGAGACCATAGAAAAATATAAGTTATGCTTTATCCATCCCAAGAGCCTTTTGACAAGGGACTCCAAGGGTACAAAAGTAAATCCTGTCAAAGTACTTGTACAGTGTCTTTGACAGAGTGCTGTACTTAACAATCAACACCAATAAAGTGTTCCACTGTATCATTAATATAAACAATACTTAAAATATATCTCCGGGTGATAATTTAAGCGTAAGATGGCTCTTGGGTTCCCAGTGGCACCTGTGTCCTGTAACATTTGACCCCATGCGCTCTGTAGATAAGGTGATACTGAGCATTTGGAGACGCGGTGCAGGTGATATCTGAAAAAAGAGACATTTTTGCGCATTAAAAGAACAAGATTGGCATGTTCATGTAATGAAAGCGTTCTCTAGCGTATACATATCTGAACAGATCTAGATCAGTATTTTTTAGGCTTTACAAATCCAGAGTGCTGCAGCAGTAAGAAACAAATCTTAATGAAAAAGTCCAGTCGTTTTTTTTCAAGTATTTTTTTATGCTTTGCCACTGCTGTAGGTCCTTAAACACGTCTCATTTTTCTGTTCAAGAACTTAGCTTGGGTGAAGTCTTACAACATATGCTTTGAGCTGGAGGATTGCAACGAGATTTTCATTCAGCTGTTTAAGACTCTCTTCTCTGTCATCAAGTAAGTTTTTTTTTTATGCCACCTCTCATTTTTGCATTCTTCATCTCGTTTTGCATTGTTTACCGATATCCCTGTTTTACCCCCTTTTTATTCCACTCTTTCCCTTTCCCTCCCCTCAGCAACAGCCACAACCAGAAGGTGCAGATGCACATGTTGGATTTGATGAGTTCTATCATCATGGAGGGTGATGGGGTGACTCAGGAACTACTGGATTCCATTCTCATCAATCTCATTCCCGCACACAAGGTCGGTCTGCTCCCCAGCTTCACCATCTTCAGTCATTAAGACTTAAAACACTGGAAG